ATTTTCCTCTCAGTGTCTTCACTCCAGCTGTTCCCTTTACCCGGATGACCTTCCTTCCCCACCCTCATCTCTGCCTAAGTTCCACGTTCTCCAAGAGCCTTGCTTGCATCATCCCCCAAGTGAATATGCTCTTGGACCTACTTCTGTTCCTGCAGCACAGTAGTTACGAGTATGGTTTCAGACCTGGTTCCATTACTTACTAGCCACGTGACCTTGGGCAAGTGGCCCTGCATTTCTGATCCTGTTTTGTCATCTATAAAATAGGAATGATACAGACCAACCACCATTCGTGATAAATTCCCAACCTACAGCCTCATTACCAGTGGATACTATCTCTCATTGTAATCTTTCCAGGGAAAATGGTCTGTTGTTTTACTTTTGATTCTCTAGTAGTGACAATAAGCATCTTTTCACTCATTTAGAATCTATGTCTATTTCTTCTGTAAACAGCCTATTATATCTTTTGCCTATTTTTCTGTTCTTGTTAAGGCATTATTCAAATTTTTCTTTAACTCTTTAACTTTTTTAAGGTATAAAAATAACATATAAACCCATTCTTGTAAAAAGATTCAAACAATACACAGAAGCTAATAGAGAACAAAACACAAAGTTCCCTGTCACCCTTGATTCTGACTCTCCTCCCCTGTAGGCCACCACCACCAACGTGGTGGCACCTGTCAGTCCCACTTTGTCCTGCAGTGATATTTAATGTTATTGAATTTATACTATACATATTATTCTCTGATTTTATTGTTTCACCCCAAAATTCATTCATTCATTGAACAAATATTTATTGAGTGCTGAGCATTCTCAAAGTGCTAGAGATAACAGCAGTAAATAAAACAGATACATAAAACTCCTTGCCCTCATGGAGCTTACATTTTATGCAGGGTAAACTATGGTCTGTGGGCCAGTTCCAACATTTTTACATTTTTAAAGAGTTTTTACATTTTTAAAAGGTGATTTTTAAAAAAATGAATAGTATGTGACAGATGTATGTGACTGGCAAAGCCTAAAGTATTTACTTACTGGCCCTTTACAGAAAAAGTAGAAACTTAATAACATATAAATCTAGTGGACAATATCTTAGCAATTTGTCCATGTTATTAAGGTAAGTGCCTATCATTTTATTTTTAACAGCTGTATAGAATTCACAGAATAGATATTCCATAATTTATTTCATTACTCCCCTATTCAAGGATATTTACGTTTTTTCCAGCAGTTTTGCTATCATAATGCTGCACCAGACATCCTTGTGTGGTGATGCACCAGACATGTGTGGGTGATTCTGAAGGGTAAATCCCTGGAAATAGGATTATTGGGACAGAAAGTACACACTTTTAAATTTTTGAATTTTTGACTGATATTTATATTACATGGGAAGTGAAATATTTAAACTCAAAAGTAGTAACCATACAAATTTCCCACCTCGGTCTCTATTTCAAATTTTCTGTCTATGTGATAAAAATCTATCTTTATTGAGTACTTATTATGTGTCAGATACTATTTTTAGCACTTTTTTATACACTATTTCATTTATTCTTAACAACTCTATAAGTATAAATACTCCATTTTACATATGAAGAAACTGGTTCTCAAGAATGTGATTGCCCAGTTTTACTCCATCTAATAAGTGGCAGAAACCAGACTTTAAACCTTTGTTGTCTAATTTTAAAACCAGATTCTTAACTGTGATTCTATCCTTCCTTCCCCAGACCGTGAAGTGTCCTGATTTTTGTTTTAGGAAATATTGTCACCATAATAGTCACATGTGTTGTAAGCTACCTCAGATCATTTTTTCAAAGAAGCACTAAAATAATAGTCATCGGTCTGAACAGTTGCGAGAGATACTGTGTTTTGACAAAGGAAGGGGGTGGAGATTAGATGTGAACTAAATCTCTGGGAATGGCGTCCCCTGCCTTGGCCTCCTGGGCTCAGATGTGTTTGCTCTGAGAGGATGGTGAGCCCTCTACATCTACCAGGCTAGGACAAGGTCTTGGTAAGAACTGCTCAAAGGCCAAGAGCATGCTCTGGGACCAAATGAGAAAAACCCCTTGTACCAGGCTGATGTCTCCCCTGTGACTTCATCCCTCACAGTATGCAGCTGACCCCCAGGACAAGCACTGGCTGGCTGAGCAGCATCACATGCGGGCAACAGGGGGGAAGATGGTAAGCACTGTTCCCATGTGCCACTGCTAAAGACCCACCCAGCCCAAGGCCCAGGGTTCTGGCTATTGGTGGCAGCCTACCTCCAAATCTGAGAGGCTCTCAAAGCCTGATGAATGTGGGAAGGGAGACTCATAAAGGTAGAGAGGACCCATTCCTTCATGCTGAACAGCAGGCTATAATCCCTAGATTCCCTTCGCTGTGTTAGGTCTCCTACACAGCACCCCCTCACCACCTCCCACATCATCCCTCACATTGAGGTTGTATTAGCTGTGCATATGAATGGCAGATACAGGACACACAATAATACTTTTCCCTCATGTGCCCATTGGCAGATTTCACTCATCAATCACAACACTGCCACCAGGAAGTTATAAAATCGTTTCTCAACACAGTACTCCAGGCAGCACCCCTTGTCAATAGGGATGAAACTTGTTTCTGTACCTGGCAGCCCCTTCCAGAATCACCTTGAGTTCTGAGCTCATATCAAGCAACAACCTTAGGAAAATAATCACTGCATAAGTTCTAAAACTATCATGGAGGGTTTTGTTCATCACATGCAGTGTCCCCCCACCTGAGGACTCACTTAGTTCCACTGCTGGGACTGCTCCTATTAGAATCTAATGGCCTTGCAAACCAGTATGCCATGTCATGTCTGGCATTGAAAGCTATCTTTTTTTACTGTATTTATACCTATACCTGTTTCAAAAAAAAGATTTCAAGGAGCTTACCAGTGGTACATAAAATGTAACATAACATGAATAAGAAGTAGCGGGAAGGAAAGGATCTAAAATGAAGCCATGAGCAAGACTAGTTTTCAAAAAGTTTTTAACTGCTGACCTGGGAGACCAGTGCACTTCTAGGTTTTCACAAATTCAGCTCTAAGCCCTTTTCAAGGACACCAGTTCTGTTACTAGCTCTTAAGATGAAGACAGTAAAATTGCTCAAGGGATATACACTTATTCCTGACCCTGAGACTAGAAAGAAATGTCTCCCACAGAAGACTTTCTCATGCGATGAACAACATCCCCTGTATAGTTAGCTCACAAGAGGACTCTCTCCCACTGCAGACCTTGGCATTGTGCCAAAGCAGGCCCCAGGACAATACAGCCCAGTTACTAGACAGCAGTGCAGTTTCTCAAGTTTTCCCTTCTGCCACAAAGTTCAAAACGAAATTATCTTAGTTCCTAGAGTTAACATATA